CCTTGAAGGCACCGGTCCGTGGTCAGCTGCCGGGGGGGGGACAGATGGGGTGAGTGCTGTGCCTTCACCCTGGGTGCAGAGAATCACCCCCAGCGCATCCCCAGCACCTGGCAGAGCCCCTCCTCTTCTCTGCTTTCAACGACACCATGTGAAGGGATGCCAAAATCACTCTTGGGTAGCCCTGCCCGATGCATCTGCGGGCTGGGATTTACTCCCTCCATCTCCACAGAGGATGGACCCACATGTTTGCAGTCGGGAAAGGAATGTCTCGCCCTCCTTCCCTGCCATGCAGTGGCCAGCTGCCCCTCGGAAATGCCTGAGAGGAGCCCAGCTGGCAGGGCCCGGCCCCTGCTTTGTTCCAGGTCCTTGCAAGCATGTCAGCTATTCTTCTCTCACTGCATGGGACCCCAGCAGTAGGGATCACAGCCCCGCACAGCTTGACCATCACGCATGGGCCAGGGGCCACAGCAGAGCCCATCCATCAGCCAGCATCCCCCACCACGCCAGCCCGAACCCCAGCCAGGCTTGTCTGTGCTGTGGGAGCTGAGCAGCAGCCGTCAGGGCAGCCGTCAGGTTTCTGAGGAGCCAGGAGAAAGTTCTCCCCACCAGGCATCACAGCCTTCGCACACGAGGGTGTACCACACACAGTGGAGGTCTCGAGAACCTATGTAGCCCCACCATGGGGAGATGGGCAAATCGTTCCTTGTCAACGAGTCCTGCTCTCTCCTGGGCTTCAAGGTCTCCAGCGATGGAGATGCCACCATAACCTCAGCTTTACTGTTCTTGCAGGGAGAAATATTTTCCTAGCAGACAATCTAAATCATTATTATTTTAAGCCCACTGCATCTTGTCTGTGGTTACAGAGAGCATATTATTGCCTTATTTGCTCCTACCTCTCATGTATTTCAGAATTTTATCATTGCACTCCCTATTTCCCTCCTTCTCCACCATCTTCTGTTCTCTAGACTAAACATGCAATTCTTTCAGGCTTTCCTTAGAAGCTGTAATTATAGACCTCCGGTTGGTCTCGTTGCCTACCACTGAGCTTGCTCCAAGTAGTTCACATCTTTCTTGAAGCCTGGAGCCCAAAACTGAAGCCACAGGGTCTTATCTGGGACTTTCTTAATGCTATATGGAAAGATTTCTTCACAAGCCCTACAAAACCCAGCCTACCCAGGCAGCTTTTGTTCTCTTCCATGATGTTTTAAATGTACGTCCATTTGAAAATTCACCATAACATGCCCAACTTAAACATCTTTTACAGATGTGCTGCCAAGCCTGTTGCTTCCCATCTCGTACACGTTACTGGTGGTTTCTGCCTCACTGTAAAACTTTGCAATTCAGTGAGGTCAAATATCCTTTTTTTTCTTTCCCCCTCCTGGATCACTTTTCCACTCGGCCAAGATAATTTTCAATCCTAAACTTGTGTTCTAAGGGTTTTACAGCACCAGTGGTGATGTAAATTATTTTGGACTTTTAAGTTATCAGTTATATTATCTTCTGTACTGAAACATACTGGATTCATTACAGCTTTATTAGGCTTTCCCTTATTTAATAATAAAAATATCATATAAAGCATTGCCTAAAGTCTTAATAAAGCCCAGATATTCTGCCAAGGAAAGGCATTAGGTTGACTCGATATGAGTTGTGCTTGATGTAGCCATGATATAGGTATGCTGGTTGTAACTTTTTACCTGATTAGCTGGATATTTACAGGTTACTGACTGCATTTTTCAGTATTTTTTCCGTGAACTGATGTTACAGACTGATCTAATGCCCTTGGCCCTCACCTCTCTCCCCCCATTCCTCATTGAATTCTGAAAGATTGCTCCATTTTCCCAAGTAAGTCTTCTAGGGTAAACTGCACCAAGCCCTGTCATGCTGGAAACATCTGACTATTTTCACTTTGGCTTTTTTAAAAAATATTTTATTTAAATTCTTCCCATTTTGCCATTGAAGTAGGGTTTAGATGATATTTCAAAGCAGTTCTAATATTTACTTAGGCTAGGGGCTTTCAATTTTTTTCGATTTGTGGCCTGATTTTCCCATAGAAGTTCATAAACGATCCAGTACACGAGAAAGAGCCAAATGAGTCATAACATAGGTCCACTTAAACCAGTACCCAGTCTCTGACAGCAGTCAACAGCAGGTGACCAGGAACGAAGAGTAAACAGAAGGGCCAGCACACATCACTATTTCCCTGAAGTACTTTCCTTGTTGCCAGCAGCTGGTGGCCAAGAGGCTTCTTGAGCCAGCTGTGATGGTCATTCTGTTTAATAGCCCCTGGTTGGTTTATTCTTCCATGAATTTTTCCACTCCTGTTCTAAATCCATGTAAACTTTTAGTGGTACCGTATCAGCACCTGCAAGAAATTCCAGAATTCACTATATGTCTTTGGTTGGAACCCCATACTCTGTTGTTTGATGGTTGCTCCTTACTCATCTTCTCCATGCGCCTCATAAGCACATGGCCAGTTAGCACGCACCTCAGACGTCTCATCACTATGAAAAATTCACTCTTTACTTCTATCTCTGTTTTCTGGGGTTTTAACCTTTGTTTTCTTTAATTCACAAGACTTTACATCTTATCCTGTGTCAGTTCAGATTATTGAAGAGCCTTTGGGCAGGAATATACAGGACCTTGCTTTTCTTCCTCATCTTATATAGCCCTCCCTCCCCCAAATAGCTGAAGGACTGCAAGCTGTGTTCGGATCTGTGACACTTCCAAGTAAAGCAAAGGTCTGGGGTTTGTCATTAGCATCTGTGTAGCTGCACCAGATGTCAGCTGTAGCTGAAGGAGCGGGTCTCTGCTGAGAGCAGGCTGATGCAGCGCAGGGACCTTCACTAGCATGCAGCAACTTAAGGCTCAGATCACCTTTGCCAAGTAAGGCTGAAGTGGTGTAAGGCATTAGCACCGCCGTGCCCCATTAGCGTTAGCATATCCTGACACGCTCCACACCTCAGGCTCAGCGCTAGCTCATGCCTGGCCTTTTAGCACAAGCTTTCCTTCACCGATGGGTTAGTCCAACAGATTCCGTTGTGAACAGCAGCCAAGGCATGGCTACACGGCCTGTTCTGCTGCTCTGGGAATGGTGGTTTCCAGCCCAAGGGGCAGGGACCCAGCTGGGGCAGCACCAGAGTAGCTCAGGGCAGTCAGTTTTCCTGTCAGAAGAGCCCTCAAATGGCCTCCAAGCAAAGCCCTGAGTCTGTGAGCCTCATGAATGTGGGTTGCTGGCTGAGGCCAAAGCGCGTCCTATTAGAGTAGCAGCAGGATGCCCTAAGTAAACCCTGTTTGTGATGAAAGGAAGGCAATTAAAATTCCACTTCAGCTGCCTTCCTGTCCCACTTCCTAACCTTCCAGCGGCAGGTGATTAGCAGAGCCTGCCTTCTGCTGCCCTCACTCAGCTGTGCCAGCGGAGCCCTGCTGCAGGCGAGCACTACTGCCGCGGCACGGCCAGCTGCCGGCACGGCTGCTGAAGCACAGCGAGGACACTGTGATTCAGCTGTCAAGATTGTCTCAAGTTAACTTAGAATGAGCTCATGTTTTTCAGTTTTAAAATCATCCTGCTCTTCTCTTACCAAACCGCTTGCCTTGGTTGTGAACACACTTGCTAGCCCTGCTGTTTAAGGTTTCCCCACATTTCTGTCCAGGATTTCCCAAACAGTAAACCAAAGAGGCACGCTGCATAGTGACATTGGTGTGCTTACATCATGTTACACTCCTGCAGCCTACCAGATGCATACAGTAGTTCATCTGTGCACAAGAATCCTGGCAGAACACCTGCAGCCCCTTTCCCAGCCAGATGGTGCTTTTAAGGAAGCCAACCCTGCAGGACACAGGGAAGCCCCACTGTACCTACAGTGCCCAGCTGTCACACCACTTCCTTGGTGGTCAGCACAGGGATAAGTACACAATACACAACTTGGTTTCATACCACACTCTTGATACCCATACACACTTAACCATGGCTAACCACTTTGGAATAGTGAGCAGAAAAGGCTAGAAATGCCCCCCATAATTCAAAAGGCAACTCAAACAATTACATTTGGGTTTTTTTAAACAGGCACTAAAGTTTTTTTTCTCCTGTTTCCCCTACAGAAGGGGATGGCTACAACATGCTGTTCAGATTAAAAAAAAAAAAAAAATTCAAAAAGATAAATCCCAAAACAGTATTTCTCACCCAGTAACATTACTTACTTCTACCTTACTAGAGGTACTCTACAGAAAACACTAGTGGAACACAAAGTATGCAAGCTCATACCTCACAGGGAAAACCGAGCACTTCAGTCACCCTTGAGGTTAAGCAGATTGACACTTCCAACCAGAACTAGATTTCCCCCCTAGCCTATAAACAAGTTTCTTGCTTTAGAAGACATCTCTGGGAACTAACTGTATTAGCAGGAGAGAACGAGCAAGTGGTTTTCCCTGCCTCACCAGTCAAAGTAACAGCTGAAGTGGGGTCAGCCAGAAGTACTGCACCTTGTTTATTTTATGGGAATAAATCCCACCCCCCTTGAGAGTCTGTTTGCTTTGGCATGAAGCTCTGAGGTAGGTGACCCTGGGCCACACAACCTGCTAGAACCATTTTGTAGGTGGCAGTTTACCCAGCAGCGGTTTCCCGATTGTCTTGGACATCCAGTGACTAAGTGATGGGCATTCTTGTAAAGCAGGCTAGTATACATGTAAGAAAGGATGGTGTTGAAGAAATGGATGTGCAAGGGAGGAGAGGAATAGCTTGAACAGGGTCTTAGACCCCTTTAGAAACAGGGAGGGCTTGAAACATTTATTAGCAGCAGATCAAAAGCAGAGAGAAAGCGAGCAGCGGCTCCCACCAAAATCTGCATCACACTCATCACGCTCTCTGCTCCCCAAGAAGTGAGGAGTAAATCACATTGGGATCAGCACTCCTCACTGATCGGTGTTTTTCCAGAGATCCCTCCCTCAGCCTATCAACCAACCCTTTAAACTCAAGCCAATCTGACGACACAAGTTCCACAGTGTTTTTTTTAAGTTAGGTTTATTTAGCAATAGAAGTATGTACATGTAAGAGAATCCCCTGCAGCACAAGACATGCACAAAGCAGTGAGGGACTGAAAGTGGTGCTGCTCAATGGCCTTCCTTATCACCTGTTATCCCACTTTACTCAGCAGCACGGCCAAGATTAGAAAGGGACAGGTGAGAAATGTATCAGTCCACATGGCAGAGTCTTCAGGCAGAGCCTTCCCAACCAGTATTAAAACAAGCGGGCACCATAGCCAAATGTCTGTTTAATGCCCTCGAAGTAGTAGCGCTGCCAGCCTTGCTTTGTTCTTTCCTCCTCACTGGCAGGGATGATGTCTCACCACCTTTGTCGGTGAAGTTCAAGGTAATTGTTGCAAAGTGCCCTAGAGGAACCAAAGCAAATCTGTCAGCAGTGTGTAGTATAGTATATGCTCCCCCAAGGAGCTGCTCTGCTCCTCCTCTCACACAGCACCACTTAAAAAGACTCCTCAGGATCCTTTCCAGAGGATCTACTTATGACAGCTGCAGGCCTTCCCCAGAAACAGAGGGAGGAAAGGGCTCCCTCTTCATAGGGTTCAAAGCAGTTGCAGCCACAGCTCAGCAAGCTGCTACTTCAGCCATCCTAATCCCTGGCTACTGCTCGAAGCAGTGGCTGATAATTCTGATCTGACTGCGTGGGACACAAAGCTGGGATAAGGCTGGTGCAGCTCCCAGAATACTATGTGCTCCTCGATCACTAGCCAGAGTGCAGTATAGCAAACTGTGCTGGAATTCTTCAAACACACAGGCAAGGGCTGTAATATCATAGTCCATTTTTTGGATTACTTACCAGCTGGCCAAGATTTAAATCTCCATTTCATAACAAGTTGCTTCTCAGGGACCTTGAAAAGAGACAGAAAGACTGAGTGGTTTTTTTGGTTGGTTGGGGGTTTTTTTTGATTTTTTTTTTTTTTTTTTTTTTTTTTTTTTACAAATCCTGCAGTCTAATAGAAAACAACTAGAATTGAGTTGATCTGAAGCCTTAGAGACCCATTGAGAAACACACATGGAAGGAAAGTTTTAAAGTGTCCTCTCCTTTCCACTCCTCTTCTAGGAAGGTAGGCCACAGTACAGCCCCAATCACTGAGACAGTATCCCTGTCCAGAAGGCTTTAGCAGCAGGAGGGCTACAGAAGAAAAGGGGCAGTTACTATCTTTTACACCCCTCCAACCCCTAATAAATAAGTAAAATCACACAAAGACAGGGCTGATGTGTGACTGGAAGCCAGATTTTCTCCCCAGACCAAAGTTCCATACATTAATCCACACTATAAGGATATATACGCTTCAATAGCCACAGGGGTTATAGATAATTATTGGGCACCAGGTAGAACTCCACAATTAGTGAACTGAAGCATTGTTACAGAATTGATACCTCAAAAATAAAAAGGCTGCCTCTGAGCAAGATACATCTGCACTGGTTAGTACTTACTAGGTCAATAAACTCTCCCGTGACGCTGCCATCCAGCAACTGAAACTTGCCTCCTTTATCAGCCTCCAAGGCAGCTTGTGCGTGGGTGAAAGCTTGGACCATCTGAAAAGAATTCAGGAGGAGACCTGTATTACTTGACATTATCTGCTTGCAAACTTGTTGCCTAACGCTTCCCACCCAGTTGCAAAAGTCCTGGAAGAGGAGGTAAGTCAATAGTGTAAGGTCTTCATGAAGAGACAAAAACCTTGTCCTGGCCAGAAAAGCAAGGTTACAGCCACTACAGCAGCATTCTGCCTGCCAAGGGAAAAGAACCCCTAGTTTCCACATTCTAGGTTGTGTTCTGTAAGCCACACTTTGATTTTCTCTGTTGATTCCTTCATGTCCTAAGTTAATTCCTTAGTCCTAAGAAAAGATCGTATTTTTTTGCACCCCACCCCTTTTAAAAAAAAAAAAAAGGAGGAAAAGACTAAGACCGTATCTAAATAATGATACAACACTGCTCTCTTCTTAAACTACCTAATAGTGTGCAGGGGAAGAGAAGCTATTCCCTAAGTACGCATTGATACCATGTAACCTTAAAAGGAAAAAACCAATACAAAACCAAAAAGTACACAACTGTAAATCCCAAGAGATCTGACCACCCGCAGTAAGGGATGCGCCTACAGATAGGTGCTGACAGCAGTCTGGAACTGCCTTTTGGCGGGCATTAATCCGCTCTTGTCAACTGTGTGACAAGATGCACAAGCGAGATTTAAGCAACTGTTCTGCAGACCAGCTTTTTTATTCTGTTGTCATAGATTGAGAGTGTCCTACAGAATGCCTTAAAAAGCTTTTTCGGAACAACCTCCTATGCACAAAGAACACTTCTCAGAACAAGCCTGGCATTACCTCTTGAGTAATGAATACCCGGTAGAGCTCCTCAGGAGATGTTAAGAAGGTGTCCTTCAAGCTGATCTTACATGTAGGGATCTTGACTCCTATGGATTTGGACTGTGATGCGGCAGTATTGCTGCCAGCAGCCGTCTTAAGAAAACAAGCAAAACACACGTTGAGTTTTTTTGTGGGGAATTAAAAAAAAAAAAAACCCAAACTTGTTCACATACCCAAGAGAAAGAACAAAGGTCTTTTGTAAAGATGTAATTAGATACAACCATATTTCAATGTAAAAAGCATATTTATCACTGTGCTTGAATTAAGAAATATCATGTACTGCAAATCAAACCAGTCAGGCTTACACCACAGATTGTGAATTCCTGAATATATATATCCTATAAACAGCATAGGTTGCTCCTGTACTCCCCGGAATCTAATACTGTGTATGTTTCTTCACAGATCCAAAAGCACGTTTACACATTTTATTTACCTTGCGGTCTTCTGCTTTAGGAGCCGCTTGAGGTGTTGTTTCCACATGCTCACCATTCACTGTGGGCAAAATCATGCCCTGGGTGAATTCTGGAAAGAAAGGAATGCACCCGTGAAACTAATTAAAAAAATCAAGTAAACCTTTTAACTGTTCTTTGAAATAATCACAATCAGGTGTTCAAGAAACACGTAGACGTGGCACTCTGGGACATGGTGGTGTTGGGTCGATGGTTGGACTTGATGTTCTTAAGAGGTTTTTTCCAACCTTAATGATTCTATGATTCTAAAAAGGGCTTCCTGGTTTCTTCCCTGCTCTTGCTAGCACCCATGACTTGAAATCTTTTTTTTTTTTAAATGTAGAGACCTCTTTTTACGAGCAATTAGCTATTATTGCCCTCACTACACTCCACTGAAGGCCCTATCAGAACCTGCCTACGGTAACAGTTGGAAACTTACCTCCTCTTCCTAGTATAGATACACCAATCACTATCTTCCACACGTTGCTCTCATATTAATGTTAGCCGTAAACGTAGGTTGCTTTTTTTCTCTCTCTCTAATATAAATAACAATCACATCTCAAATACTTTTTCTTGCTGGTCTACACAAACCAAGCTTTTCCATTTCTTTTCAGATTGGCCCTCCATTTCTCGTATCACTGTAGTACGGAATAAAAGTTACTTCTAACTCCATCTTCGGTTTATCTTTTTTGACACCAGATGCCAGGGGAGGTCTCACCAGTGCCTTGTCCAGCAGCACTAGCACTTTTATAACTCCACCAAAAGCTTCAGCCTCTTTCAGCATCATGTTTGCTTCTTCCCCAGCTCTATCGCTTCTGCCATTTCCAATTATAAAACAATTCGCTCTTTCTCCTTCATCTGTTCAAACTGGCAAAATTCCACTATATAACAGAATTTTATTATATTTGTATAATCTAGTATCCTGCAATACTTAGGTCCCACCCATTCTTATTTATTCCAGCCCACAAGATTGTACAGTTCTTCCTGAATAACATTCTCATCTTCCACTGGGTGACTGTATCTCCCACCCTGAACACTAAAATGCCTGAAAAAAACCCCAAGGGTGAAGAAATTTGATCCCGGAAAACCAGCGACCAGTGATGGTTTGTACTCAGCAAAACTTGAATATCTAGTATGTGTAGTGTAATACAGGTAAATGCATATAAAAAGCAACTCTAGTGTTCCCAGCCTGTACTAGAGAGCAAAGCTGAACGCAATTAAAGCACACTGATTTAACTCCAACTGCTGGAATCAGATTTATCATCTAAAAAAATTAATTTTGATCCAGATGCTAAGACAGCTCATTCAATGACACCAACAAAATTTGCCAAGCGATTTCCAGTTGTCAGTTACTCTCAAATGCAAGTAACAATACATGCCTTTACTAGTGTGGCAAAAGGGAAAAAACAACAGACTAGAGAGAAAATACCACCTTCCAAGGGAGTAAGCAAACAGCCAAATTGTGCCACATACAGTGACTGATACTCTGTGTCACTGGGGTAGCAAACACATTTTATTGGCTTTATTTTTCCTACAGCTGAGCTTCAGCACGTGAAGGACATTCTCGGTTTTAAAACACACATCAAAAAATGCAATTTGTTATTGGATTATCACCAAAACACATCTTTTGGGGCTGTGCTACAGTGTCTACAGACAGAAGTGCTTCTTGCCAAATGCTAACCATTATCAAGAGAGACAGAAAAGTTACTGTTGTTGCTTTGACACTTTCCTGTTGAGATGTGGTAAGGAACTAGTATTCCCTCCTCTCCTTACCCTCAGCCCTTCTTTAGCATTAGCCTATATAGGTTCCCAAAACACTTCCCCATCTCGGTTACATACCTGTTTTGAGAGTGCTGATGTAAGTTTTCATTGCATCTCTAATTTTTTTTGTACCCTCTTGCTTCATCAGGGTCTTCAAGTTAGTGTCAGGTTCATCTTTAGCAAGGCTGACATGGATCTAAACAGGAAGAACAAAGCCATGCTTACACAGTCCTTTTATTACTCGATTCAACATCACAGTCAGACTTTGGCTAAACTTTCACAAGCAGCAGTGCAGTTTTGTTAATTGTTCACTTCACCTCTCTCAGCCTACAGTAATGTACACACGTACTTAAATACCTTCATGTGCTTTAGAGCCCTAACATCTAGAAGACAGAATTAACTTAATAAAGATACAACATGATGGGGAGGGACTCCTTATCAGGGAATGTAGCGACAGGATGAGGGGTACTGGTTTTAAACTGAAAGAGGGTAGATTTAGAAGACATTCTTCACTGTAAGGGTGGTGAGGCACTGGAACAGGTTGCCCAGAGAAGCTGTGGATGCCCCCTCCCTGGAAGTATTCGAGACCAGGCTAGATGGGGCTTTGGGCAACCTGGTCTAGTGGAGGGTGTCCCTGCCCATGGCAGGGGAGTTGGAACTGGGTGATCTTTAAGGTCCCTTCCAACCCAAACCATTCTATGATTCTATGAACTTAAGCAGTCTCTAACACCAAAAAAGTTCTACACAGATGTTCTAAAAAAGGTAATATGGAAGGAAATAGGAGTGCTGTGAGGATTCCTGTTAGAACAGCCATACAGCCAGCAGTATTAGCTTTTAGCTGTGCTTACCTCAACTTCATCAATGTCATTTTCATCTGAGAGATTAGGAATCTCCACATAACCTTTGTATTTCACTCCTGTCTTTGATGTACCTGCAATGACAATTAGGCTGTTGAGATCAACATTTCTTACTCTGGTTGTTGTAAAACCAACTTTGTATTGTATCACAATACAATACGCTCTTTTACTATTATTTCCCCAAATGAAATAAATATCCTTAATCTTATACGTGAATCTGGCCTTGAAACAGGAGGAAAGAACATCACTCACCAGTCCATGCCAGCTTGATAGCCCACTCATAGAAGAAGATAAGTTTCCCTTTGCGGTTGTTAATGGAGGCCTCTCCATCCAGTTTGCTCACTTCTGTCACCTCACAAGCCCCTTCTTCACTCTCCACCCTCACAGGCAGGAGGAGAGTTTTCAGCCGTTCTGTGGACCAGTTAGAGGCATCTCGCTCCGTCCTGTGAGAAAATGGGGCGGTGTGAGAATCTGGGGCAGAACGCACCGCCAGCACAGGCTGGGACTAGCCAGCCTTCCTCCAGCGCTTCCCTCCCCGCTCCCCTCCAACACACACACACACACAGGGCCCTTCCCCAGGGCACCCACGCACACGCGGGGGCCTTCCCGGGGCATCAGCCCGGACACCCCACCTCAGCACCAACGCGCAGTAGGGGGGCGAGGGAG